GATCAATTATTAAATTTGATCGGTAACCAATTGCATCCTGTAAGCAACAAAAATAGACCCATAGATGTGCGACATGATACTAAGACTTCCAAGATAAACCCACTTCGCAATCGAATTTTGTACATCGACGCGCATGACGTCAATTGGTGATAAAAGTCACTTTTATCACCAACCTTTTATCATCACAGTCGGTAAAACATATATGGAAAGAAAGGGGTTTTTATTTAAATATTTAGAATATTAAGGGATGTTAGGTAAAATATCTGCAATTAAATCTTAAAAATATGTTATATATACAGCTCTGTTAGCCTAGCAATGTAAACTAAAATTATATAAAAAAGTAAGAACTAAACATCCTTTTGCAAATGCAAATTTATATACAATGGATTGATTTATTAAAATAAAAATTTAATACAACTGATAAAATAAAATACACTGTAATAATTTACAAGTTTATTTAACAATTTATTTTACAATTTTTAATATTTTCCTCTTAACTTTTGATGTTTCTTTAATATATCTATTCAATTTTCTAATTTAAAAATATAATTTACACCTTTACTAACATTACATCTGAACACAGCTAAATCCATTAGCGATTTTATATAATTCTTGGTTAATTTTAATGACCCTTTGTTAAAATTGTTAAAAATATGGTCCAGTTCACTACATTTAATTAGAAAATCTGGATATGGTTTAAGTAAACCTCCTTCGGAAAGATGGTTTACCCAGTAAACCGATGTCAACGTACAAGATAAACGATAAAACAAAACTAAATCTCAAGGTTAGTAGATATTTAAGTAGATACTTAAATATCTACTAACCTTGACTAAATCTCACAAAACTCCATACAACACAGAACATTTCTGGTGACATTTGTCGCCAAGTGACGTCACACGACTGATCGCGTGCGCGTGGGTTTATCTGTAGTTTATAGTATCATGGATGTGCGAAGTCGATTGTTAATTGCTCTTCATTTTTATGCCACAGGATAGTTTCAAATATGTATTGACATTGACCATGGGCATTGACAATTATTATAATATCAAACATTATAGGTTATGTATATGATTACAGCATCGAGTTAGAATCTATCGAGAAGTTAAGAACATACAATAAAAATACAAATTTTTTGTATTAACGTGTGTATTAAAAACGGCGTAGGTAGTTGTGGCTAACGATAATACCAATATGGCGGTGGGATCATGGCCGGACTCAATAATATTAAAACTACTGTAAAATATGACTAGTTATTTAGAAGATTTCATCATTTTTAATAAATTATGATTTATTTATCCCGCGGTAAACACTAAAAACACGGTATATTATACATAAAGATAAATTAATACTGTCAAATACTATTAATTTATTCTCTGAAGTACGGGCCATTACTTTGTTTACATATTTGTATACTAACCTGTACAACGTTATTTCTGAAGATTTTTTTATTAACATTGCTTCTGCTACTGCAACTACGTTGAGAACAAGAAACCATTATTATCCACTATCACAATATATTATTACAGTTTCTATAAAAGTATTATAAAACTAAAAATATTCAAAAACAACAAACGTAAACAAACATATACGATCTGTCAAAAGTGTCAAAACAATATTAACAATATGGCCAAACTCGATGGATTACAGTGAAAAATAGACTAGTACTCACTATTCTGCGCAGACTTGCGCACTTCATTTGTATTTATTTCTGAATGTGTGAATGTATTATTGGTTGTGAACATTTTTTTATAAATTAATAATATAATTACTTCAATCCATCTATTTAACCCGTTTGATAAATTTAATAATGTTTAAATTATAAGAATAATCCTAAAATTAATAGTAAATAATAGCATATCAAAATTAAAGGTTTTTTAAAATAGTTTTAAAAAGTATTTAAAAAAATACTTTTTGCGCATTTTTTCCAATAAAAATTTGTTATTTTATATACAGGATGTTAACTGATTGAAACATTGGTTATATTATAAAATTTTTGGATTCTGCACAAAATTCCCAGAACTCTGATATATTGCATGTTATAGTTTTTATTAACTTATTTTAGGATACAGGGTGAATAATGAATAGATCACTTTCTGTGTGTCTCCTTATGACTTGAAAATGTTCTATACCTAATTTCAATAAAGAAGAGTGAGTTCATTTTTGTATCTCAACTTGTTTTTAATAATGTATATAGTACTCTAAGATATGTACCTATATTCTTTTAAAATATAGTAAAGTATTTACTATTAATTTTAGAGTTATTCTTATAATTTAAATATTATTAAATTTATCAAACGGGTTAGATAGATGGATTGAAGTAATTATATTATTAATTTATAAAAAAAAATGTTCGCAACCAACAATACACATAAACCTCATTGTCATATTCGGATGTGGACACAAATGAACTGCGCAAGTCTGCACAGAATAGTGGGTCAGGCTCTAGACACTATTGAAAAATAGTGCGATGTGCCTGGCCAAACATTTAAGAGGTGGAGGCAAGAGAGGTGTCAACGAGTACAGTCTGTAGAAAATCATTACACTTTGAATTTATTTGACGAATAACTAACTGTGGATTACAAGTAGTTATTGAAACGGAATAAAATTTATTCTAATAAATTTTATTTGACCATTAACTATTCAGTGATTTATTTGTTGTTGGTGAAACCGGCCTTTAAGTACTGATTCTTACTTGAACACCTGGATCGGTAAACCCTAGGTCAAGTTCGTCAGAGCATTCAGAAACTCTTAGGACAAAGACATGTCGAAAATTGGAAGACTGCTAAACATAGTTTTCGGTTTTACTTGACAGCAAATGAAGAAGGAATTAAGAACAAGCTAAAAAAACAAGTATGTAAACAGATGTTTTTAAGTACATTAAATATTGGTGAAAAGCAACTGAGATCATGGACCTTAGTCAGCTCAAAGCTCATCGGAGTTGTCGGAGAGTTCATTAAAAAGCATAGCAAAAGAAACCGAAAAAAACAGGGGAAGGCTTAGAGGCCTGGCTCAACTTGTTGCCTAAGGTTGAGTCACACTATTGCTGTTCTTTATCAAGCAAATTGTATCTAGAGTCCGTCTGGAGCAGCTTTAGAGAAATGCATACGATGTACAACAAAAAGTGTACCACTGAGAATAAAAATGTTGTATTATGGGCTGCTTTTCAAAAAACTTATAAAAAGTTAAATTTAGATATCTACATACCAAAAAAAGACCAATGTAATGAGTGTACTATGCACAAACATGGGACCATTGATGACGAATCTTTTGAAAAACAGAAAAAATGAAAAATGCGAATTTAGAAAAACAATCTGACAAATGCATTGCTTTGGAAAACAGAGACATCAAATGCTATAAAGTATATTTGTAGCTGTTCTCCTTGCGCCTCGTCTAAATGCATCTGCAAACTATTATAAAACAAAGTGAAAGGTACATAACCAAGTTTATTTTAATCAAGCAACGAAGCAGGTACTTTGTTATGTATGGCATGAGGCAGCAGGAGGACTTGAAAGTGACGTGTTTGCTACAATTGCTACTACCTTTATAGAGAATTAAATTATGAAGAGCACTACAACAAAAATTATTATTTGGAGTAATGGGTGCTTTGCATTTCTACCAAAATAGAAATACAAAACTGTCAAATGCCCTACTCGACTTGAGTATTAAACAAAATATACATAAAACAAAAGTATTTGGAAGTGGGACACACACACATGGAGGTGGACTCTGTTCACTCAACAGTAGAAGCAAAACTTAGAAACTGTGTCATTAGAAACACAGGTGTTTGTCCCTGCTGATTATATACATATCATTAATAATGCATGAATCCATAATCCATACCAGACATACTATTTAAGCGATGACGATTTTTTCAAATTTGACACCAGTTACTATAGTAGTATTAGACCTGGAATAAAAGTGGGAGATCCCTGTGTAAACCATGTTATTTTCTATCAATATACACCTGAAGGTGTTATAAATTATAAGCTCAACATGGGCGATCAGTGGGCACCATTTCCGAAATGACCTAAATGTTCAGTGGCCACAGAGCGCTTAAAATTATACCAAGGGCCTTGCCCAATTGAAAACTCCAAGTACCTTCACTTGCAGGAGTTAAAAGAGCTAATCTTTCAGGATTACCGAAATGTCTACAGTAAACTAGCACACAAGTAGAACACAAAAAACTCGTATTAGTTTTTGTAATCCATATGTATTTATATTTAATTATTTATAATGAAATATAAGTTACTATTAATTTATAATTTTATATTACGAACTATTTTTTTAAGTTTTATATTTATTTCTTACTCAGCTCTTTGTATCTTATCCAAATAAACAATTTTCTTTTTCAAGTAATGATAAGCATCCCTGTACTATGTATATGTAAATACTATAAGTTTTATTAAAAATGTTTTTTTTCTCCCAAATCGACTATTTTATTTAAAAAGATGATAAAAAGATTCTGGAGTATGTCAAAATAGTGGGCTAGTGGCCAACATTGGAGTGCAAATGGTTGTATGTCAACTTAGATTGCACAATTTACCAAATTTAGTCAAAACCACTATAACACTCCTACTCGAAAGTCAGTTCAATTACAAATTTAAATTGAAAAACAAATCAGAGATAAAGGGAAAGTATGAGATGGTTTTTTGTCCTTCCTGAAAACTTCCAAGGTGTTGACATACCACCTATTGCAGTTACCATAACAATATTTAACTGTATTAAAATAAACGGCCATTGTTCGAAAATTGTAAACATTACCTATTTAATTAGATTCATTCTACCTTGAAGCGATAGGTCTGTAGTATGATTATATGGCAAGCATAGCGGAGTGGAGGGTCTACAATATCATATTAACGTATATGTTAATATTTACGTCTCTTAAGATTATTTGGACTATTAATAGCGGCAGGTGACAGGAGGAATATTTGTGTTTTCAACAATAAATCTGTCGGAAGAACTATTATGACATTGTGAGCGCAAGAACTAATGTGACTATACTAACCTTTTTCAGATTTTTTGTCGTCTTCAAATGGTTTAAGCTTATTTTCATGTTGTTCTATTTCAGTAGTTATGGTATATTTCTTTAATTCTAAAGAATTATATGTATCATGAGTACTTTGCCTATTGGATTCTTCCTGAATTTCACGTTTAAACCCATCCAAAAGTGCATCATCCAAGTCATTATACTCTGTTTTTATTTTACACGTTTCCTCGCAAATTTCTTGTTTTACTTCCATTTGATTACACTTAATTGTTGTAGGTATTTATTCCAATAATAATTTTACGCCCAAAAAATGAAATCACTATAAAATAAAAATTCAAGAAGGAAGCGCAACTGCGCAACACACTTGACGTCACTCGACACTCAGAGTTAGTTTACATGGTTTATTACGCATCGAGCAAATTGTCTTATTGCTCGATGATTATACGTCATTGGTTTACATACATAAATATTTACATCAGAGAACAGAGAACTACGAACGCAGAGACTACGCTACGACACTTCTTTGATCTTGCCAATGAGCGCCAATGAGTGAAAATGACAGGAAAGCAACCACATCCAGCTAACTAATAGTCAGTGGGCATATCACACAATATAAATTCTTAAATAAAATTGAGCATTTATGTTGACTTTCAATAAATATGAAATATCAATTGTGTTTATCGTATTATACTGAAATTTGGAAGGTACTGCGTCATGCACTAATGTTTTTCTTTTATTTTTTTTTGACAATAAGATTATCTTCAAAATGTAGTTCACAAATCCTATAACTATTATAAAGTATATCCATTTTTAAAAATAAATCTTCTCGTCTGCAAGCTTCTATCCACATTTTGGCACAACAAATTTTTAACAGAATAAATTTTAAACAAAGAACTTTTTGTATTTATAAATAATACTTCATTACTTACAACTATAAGAGTATTAGTATATTCTAAGTAGGTATATTGTAAGTAATGAAGTATTTAACTTTTGTCAATATCCCATCTTAATAAATTTCCAGTTTTCTCCTGATTAAGTCACAAAATTGTCACTAAATATTGAGATATACAACAAATAATGTTTTAATATTTTTTATTTGTAATTCCCATTTAAATATTTATTCCCTAAATATGTTGTGTACTCCGATCCATATATTTGATCTTTGTTATTTATATTTAACGAATTAAACATTGACAGACAACTTTTGTATATAGCAAAAAGTAGATGAGCATTTAGTTTTTTCATAATTTAATGTAAGTTTGTTTATTTGCAACCATATTTTAATTTTGAAGTCTTGTTCTGTTGTAATTTTAAGATTTTCCCAATTATCGGTCTAATTATGTTTCCAACAATTTTTAGTTTGAGCATTTTAGGAATTTCTTTGCTTCGTTTAAATCAAATATTCTCGTGTATAAAACCCTCTATATATTTTTATTTTCTAAAAATACTATATTCGTATTGTTGTCTGCAAGCGCTTTCACACCAGTAGGCCAACATCTGTTGATTTTTTGACCTGAGCCTTCGGAGACAGTAAATTTAATGTTTTTATTTTGAACTATCCCTTGGCAGACCAAAGTTTATTTTTTTATTGCTCCACTTAACGAGAGCTCGGACGGACACGTCGGCGTCGGCTTACTGATCGAAAGTCAAATTAATACTATTATGTAATAACTAATAATAATTACAAAGCAATAGTAATTACCTGTTATTATTCTTAGGAAATCTAAATAAACTTATTCCTTTTCCTGTCACAGATGAACATCCGCGAAACGCACAACAATAACCAGAAGACATTTTAAATACTTATAAATTAAACTTTTAACTATAAACTTATATATTTAACTTATATATTTTAACCATAACTATAACCAGCTAACTAATAGTCAGTGGGCATACCACACAATATAAATTCTTAAATAAAATTGAGCATTTATGTTGACTTTCAATAAATATGACCCCCTCTGTGGCTCAGTGGTAAGAGCGCCTGCCTTTAAACCTAAAGGTCGTGAGTTCGAATCCCACCTGGGTGGAAATTTTCGTTTATTAAAAAAATTAATAAATGAAAATAATTTCTATCCTTGTGTGATCGGTACACACCGAGGGACCGCAGACGTTCGGATACAATTAGCGTCTCTTAGCAAAGACAATGACTTCGACTTTGCTAAGTATCAAGACAATTACTCTACACACACACACACACACACTACACCTCAAATTGTAAGATTGGCGAATGGATTTAGTGTCCGCAGTCATTTAAACACAAACAAACAACAACAACAACAATAAATATGAAATATTGCACTGAAAAAATAATTACATGCAGGGCCGGCTTTTGTTGACATTCTAAATGGTGTAATTATTTTTGATTTACAAAAGGTTGCAAATACATCGCACAACCCAAAGTAATGGTGAAAATCGTATTGATGGAACCATAGATGAAAAATACTTTTTTGTTTATTCTGATGTTGGCATTGATAATACACCGATTCTTTTTGGCTTGTGTTGATACAAGATATAATTTGTTCGTCGTGGAATTTCCTAATAAATTATCTTTCGTAATATAATCGAAAAATAACAAAGCCATTGTAACTGCCACGGAAATTTCACAAACTCTAAAAATTCCAATTCTCTTTGGTGAGACTGAGAAACAAGAAACTTTATATTGATATCGATTGTTAATGTCTTGGAAACCTATTAAAATTATATTTTTCCGTTAAAGTCGAATATTGGAGTAAACGATATTCGACTAAAACGAATAAAAAATGTGTTCGTAGTTCTCCGATATTGGTGCAATGAACAATGAACATTACCCTTAGCATCGAACTATATGTTTGTCACTTAGGTCACATAATTATTGCAAAAGTATTACCATCTCTATACAACGACTATTTAAATTCTTACGTGACTTTTTGAAATAAAACACACTAATTTTGTTCTACAGATTTTATTAAATAGGTAAAAATATAAAACAAAAGGTATTCACTTTAAAATTCAAAATAATAAAGTACAAAAAGTGTCAATACCGCAACTGTCAAATAAGTGTTACCAATTTATACTAAAATTTCACCTTCGTTCGAATACAGTTACAGTGTGATCCGAACAAATATTCTTAATAAAAGCGATTTATAATGCATTTATATAAATTAAATGAAACATATTATTGTGTATTTCTTTAAGTTAAGATAAAGAGAAATCTTTAAATATTATTTCTACGCGTATATAATAAAATATGTCTAGTGGCTGTAATGCTAGTGTACTCGGCAAAGTGATTCTAAAAAAGAACACACCTACCGCCTAAATATTCCGTATTGGTATCATGTGACGTCACGGGCTATGACGCCGATGATGTGCATCGGTATATAAATTAGATGAAGTATGTAGATGTATTGTATAACTAACTACACAACACAAGATTGTGCGAGTTTGACTAAATAAATATTCTATTAGTGCTTACTGCTGTTTTTGGATTTTAGGGCCAATTTTTAATAGTAGTTCTTTAAACTTTCCTTCAGACATTCTTAAGTGATTTTTATATCCTTCTATATCCCCCAAAGCAAGTTCTTTTAGCAGAGTTTCTGAAACACCCATATTCGTTTCTTCTTTTAATCCAATTTCGTATCCAGAAACGACGATTTTTTATGTTCTTTATTGCTTACTTACTTACTTACTCCGTGGCGTTACAACCCTTCGTGGGTTTTAGCCGACTCGACAACATGCCTCCACTGTTTTCTGTCTTGAGCAACCTCCATCCAATTCTCCACGCCCATAGTGCTTAGGTCTCCTGCTATATTATCTCGCCACCGGAGACGAGGGCGTCCGCGTGGTCTCCTTCCAGTTGGGACTTCCTGCCACACCAGTCTTACTGTTCGTTCGTCAGAATGTCTTCTGAGGTGTCCTGCCCATTGGAGTCTTCTGGACTTTATTTCTTTTATGATGTTGGCGTCTGGGTAAAGTTCTTCAAGCTCTTTATTAGTTCTTATCCTATATTGTCCTGATGTTTCATCAAGCACCGGACCAAAGATCTTCCTTAGGATTTTTCTTTCCCAAACACGTAGTCTCTCTTCATTTGCCTTTGTCATCGTCCACGTTTCGCTTCCATACATCACAACGGGTCGTATGATTGTTTTATAGACCTGTATCTTCGTACGTCGTGTTAGTTGTTTTGATTTTATAAGGTTTTGGAGGGCAAAAATACATCTGTTGCCGGCCTGAATCCTGTTGTTTATTTCTTGTGATCCGTTATTGTCTTCAGTTATTGTTGTTCCAAGATACTTGAATTCCCTAACGCGCTCAAAGTTAAAGTCATCGATGGTAATGTTCTGACCGATTCTGTCTCTGCTTTGGTTATTGCGGCTCATATACATATATTTCGTCTTGTTTTCGTTGATTTGGAGCCCCATCTTCTCTGCTTCCTTCTCAAACCTTACGAAAGTCTCCTTCATCCTTAATCGCGTGTTTCCTATTAGATCTATATCGTCTGCAAATGCCAGTAGTAAGTTTGGTCCTTCTCGATGAAATACTGTATTCGGTTTTTCGATTCTTGCACTTCTGATTATGTGCTCCAGAGCTAAGTTGAAGAGTTGTGGTGAAAGTGCATCTCCCTGTTTTAGTCCATTGTTTATTTCAAATGTCTCCGAGTATTGTTGTCCAACTCTCACCTTACATCGTAACCGTTCCATACACATCCGTATCAACCGGACTAGTTTTTTTGGAAAGCCAAGTTCCTGCATCGCTGTCCACAGTCTGTCCCTACATACTCTATCAAATGCTTGTTTAAAATCTATGAACATCTGATGAAGCTCACGATCAAACTCCCAGCATTTTTCCATTATCTGTTTTATTGTGAATATCTGGTCAATTGTAGAGCGGCCCGGTCTAAATCCGCATTGATAATCTCCAACAATTTCTTCTGTGTATGTTTTGGTTCTTTCTAGCAGGATGTTTGCAAGGATTTTGTAGGTGGTGTTTAGGAGTGTTATTCCCCTGTAGTTAATACATTGCTTTTTGTTTCCTTTTTTGTGTATTGGTACAATAACCCCTTCTTTCCATTCATCTGGCATTGTTTCTTCTTGCCAAATGTCTTGAATTAGCTTGTATATCGAACTGTACAATGCTTCTCCTCCATGTTTTAAGCACTCTGCGGGTATACCATCGCTACCTGGTGTCTTATTATTTTTGAGTTTTTTAATTGCCTGTATTACTTCTTCGTATGTCGGGTATTGGTCTTCTATTTCAGCTGTATGTACCTCTATGTTTGATGTACTTCTGCTAGATTGGTCATTCAATAGTTGATAGAAGTATTCCTTCCAGGTTTTTAAGATTTCCTTGTCATCAGTGATAAGCTGTCCACTGTCGTTTTGAAGAAAGTTTCCTGTTCTTGCTTGGTACCCGGTCTTGATATCTGAAACTCCTTTAAAGAACTGCCTCGCTTGTTTGTTCTTTCTTTTTTCTTCTATTTCTCTGATTATTTGTTCCTGATACTCTCTCTTCTTCCTTTTCATTAGTTTTCTTGTCTCTGTTCTTCTTTGTCTATACATTTCATTGTTGTTGTGCGAGGGGCTTTGTAGCATGTTCCTTCTAGCCATATTTCTTGCTAATATGGAGTTCAGGCAATCATCATCGAACCATTTTTTTGTTGTTTTCTTTTTGTGTCCTAGTATTTCATCTGATACGCTTGTCAGAGCTACTTTGATATTTTTCCAAGCTGAGTCTATGTTGTTATAGTTTTCTGTCTGTGCTAGAGCGATTTTTATAGCCTTTTGAAATTTCTGTTCTGTCTCCTTATTACGTAGAACTTCGGTATTCCATAATTGTGTTGGTGTATTCTTGTGTGTTTTTTTGGACGCTATTCTTGTCCTTATCTTCGCTTTTACAAGAAAATGATCCGTGTCTCCATCAGCTCCTCTTAGGCTTCTTACGTCTAGACAGTTACTACCCCTCCTGGCATCTACTAGAACATGATCAATCTGATTTCTTGTGACGCCGTCGTTGGAAACCCATGTTTGTTTGTGTATATTCTTGTGTTCAAACATTGTCGATTTTATTAGTAGATTGTGGGATGCTGCAAAGTCTATTAGCCTTGTTCCATTATCGTTGCTAACATCGTGAAGACTATGGTTACCTATTGTTGGTTTGTACGCTGCTTCCTTCCCAATCTTTGCATTGAAATCTCCTAAGATAATATGCATGTCCTGTTTAGGTAAATTATTTATCAGTTCCTCTAGTTTCTCGTAGAAGTTATCTTTTACATGCTCTTCCTTTTCCTCTGTCGGTGCATGGGCAGCAACTAGGGAATAGTTATGTAGTTGTCCTTTGATTCTGATATAACAAAGTCTTTCATTAACGGGTTTGAAAGTTAAAACTGACCCCACAAGACTTTCCCTGACTATAAAACCAGTTCCGAATTGATGTTCTCGTTCGCTTCCGCTGAAAAATACTACTGATTTATTAGTTTTTAGTGTACCTTCTCCAGTCCATCTAATCTCTTGTAGAGCAGTTATGTCCATGTTTCTGGATTCAAGTTCTTTGACCACCTGAGTTAGGGCTCCAGGCCGATATAGGCTTAGTACGTTCCAGGTTCCTATATTCATTGTCCTTTGTCGTCGCTTTTGTCGTCTTAAAAGATCCGTCCTTATCCGAGGCATGTGCTTCGTTTTCATAACTATGTTTTTTTACAAGAAGGAATAGTTAGTCCCTTGCTTAACCCTCCTCCTTTCTCATCCTGGACTTGGGACCAGGCAACGGCGGAGTTCTTTATTGCGTCTTAACATAATTTTCCTGAGTTGCTGAATCAGTAAACTACTAATAACATTTATACTTTCGCGTATAACTTCGTCTGGCGCCATTTTATTAAAACTACTTTGTTTAAAATGTGTGAACAACAAACTTGACCGATTTTAGTTGATCCACTAAAATCGAACAGTGAGAACGGGACTTTCGGCCCTCGGTAATAATGTAATCTATCATTATGCGTTTAAATTTTTTAAAAATATTTGTTAGTTTTCTCAGGATTCGAAAAAAATGAATACATTTAAAAAGCATTGGACCGAAATATTGCGCATACGCTCTTGAAACAAATTTCACACTCATAAGGATTGTCTCCAGCGTGCATCTTTACATGATTTTCTCTGGTGTGAACTTTCATGTGATCAGTTAAACGATCTTTTCGAGCAAACTGCTTAAAACAAATTTCACACTTATGAGGCCTTTCTCCAGTGTGTATTCTTAAATTAGCTTTGAAATTACCTGTTACAGAAAATCGTTTAAAACAAATTTCACACTTGTAAGGTTTTTCTCCAGTGTGCGTTCTTAATTGTAGTTTCAAATATCTTGATGTAGTTAAGTGCTTAAAACAAATTTCACACTCGTAAGGATTTTCTCTAGCGTGCAACTTTTAAATGATTTTCTCTAATGTGAATTTTCATGTGATCAGTTAAACGATCTTTTCGATCAAACTGCTTAAAACAAATTTCACACTTATGAGGATTTTCTCTAATGTGTGCTCTCAAATGTACTTTGAAATTACCTGTTACAGAAAATGGCTTAACGCTTTCACTGCGAATTTTAGAGTGTGTCGCGCCTAAGAATCGGCATCGTTTTTTGCTAATTACTGTTTTTGGCAGTTGATTAAACTTCGTTTATAATTCAGTGTGTATACGGGGCGTTTTACTGATTTTTAATGCCTATCCCCAATAGGGGCCATGGTCACACGGCCTAAAACTTTAGGTCCTGTGCTAACGGCACCAAACAGGATCGCGCAAAAACTTGAAAATGATAAATTTAGTCAAACACATAATTGTTATTTATCATTTATTTGTTACAAAAAAATCTGGAAACTCAAAACTATAATAAATGTTCTGAAAAATCATAAAGAACCACGTATGGCCACTCTCAAAACACTCACCAACGCAGAATCCTGACTGTTCTAATTCTGCTAAAAGTTCTTCTTCAGTGAGTTTGTTGGAATTTTATATGTCACTTTTAAGTTTTTTGGACGTTGAAACTACGTTAATCAGGAACTGTGCAAAAGACGAAGAAATTATCAATTCTCGATACTTAACCGACAAGCTCACAAAGGGACGGTGTGATTTACTGCCTTGCTGAATTTGTACAGCTTCTTTAATACTACGACACGAGGTACCTCGAGCGGGGCCACGAACACTTGGAAGTTAACCGACGTGGCCCACATCGGGGTCATGCGCATTTAATGTGTTAAAACAAATTTCACACTTGTGAGGTTTTTCTCTAGCGTGTGTTCGCAAATGATTTTTTAAATTACCTCTTTGAGAAAACTGCTTAAAACAAGTCTCACACTTGTAAGATGGTGCACAGTGTGCACCCTCAAATGTATTTTTAAAGTACTTGCTGAAATAAACTGCTTAAAAAAAATTTCACACTTATGAGGCTTTTCTCCAGTGTGTGTTCTCAAATGTGCTTTGAAATTACCTCTTACAGAAAATCGCTTAAACAAATTTCACACTTGTGAGGTTTTTCTCCAGTGTGCGTTCTTAAATGTAGTTTCAAATATCTTGATGTAGTAAACTGTTAAAAACAAATTTCACACTCGTAAGGATTTTCTCTAGCGTGCAACTTTTAAATGATTTTCTCTAGTGTGAATTTTCATGTGATCAGTTAAACCACGTTTTCGAGCAAACTGCTTAAAACAAATTTCACACTTATGTTTTTCTCCAGTGTGAACTTTCATATGTTCTGATAAATTAATTTTTCGAGCAAACTGTTTTAAACAAATATCACACTGATATGGTGTTTCTCCTGTGTGCACCCTCAAATGTACTTTTAAATTACTTGCTGTACTAAACTGCTTGTGACAAATTTCACACTTATGAGATTTTTCCTCCACTATGTGTTCTCAAATGTGCTTTGAATTTACCTGTTACAGAAAATTGCTTAAAACAAATTTCACACTTGTGAGGTTTTTCTCTAGCGTGTGTTAGCAAATGATTTTTTAAATTACCTGTTTGAGAAAACTGCTTAAAACAAATCTCACACTTGTAAGGTGTTTCTCCAGTGTGCACTCTCAAGTGTATTTTCAAATAACCTGATGTAATAAACTGCTTAAAACAAATTTCACACTTGTGAGGTTTTTCTCCAGTGTGCGTACTTAAATGATATTTTAAACTATTTATGTAAGAAAACTGCTTTAAACAAGTTTCACACTTGTAAGGATTTTCTCTAGTGTGAACTTTCATGTGAACAGTTAAATGATCTTTTCGAGTAAAGTGCTTAAAACAAATTTCACACTTGTGAGGTTTTTCTCTAGCGTGTGTTAGCAAATGATTTTTTAAATTACTTGTTTGAGAAACTGCTTAAAACAAATCTCACACTTGTAAGGTGTTTCTCCAGTGTGCACTCTCAAGTGTATTTTCAAATAACCTAATGTAATAAACTGCTTAAAACAAATTTCACACTTGTGAGGTTTTTCTCCAGTGTGCGTTCTTAAATGATTTTTCAAAATATCTTTACGATAAAACTGCTTTAAACAAGTTTCACACTTGTAAGGATTTTCTCTAGTGTGAACTTTCATGTGATCAGTTAAATGATCTTTTCGAGTAAAGTGCTTAAAACAAATTTCACACTTGTGAGGTTTTTCTCTAGCGTGTGTTAGCAAATGATTTTTTAAATTACTTGTTTGAGAAAACTGCTTTAAAACAAATCTCACACTTGTAAGGTGTTTCTCCAGTGTGCACTCTCAAGTGCATTTTCAAATTACCTGATGTAATAAACTGCTTAAAACAAATTTTACACTTGTGAGGTTTTTCTCCAGTGTGGGTTCTTAAATGATTTTTCAAAATATTTATTTTAGAAAACTCCTTTAAACAAATTTCACATTTGTAAAGTCTTTTTCGAATCACAATTTTCATATTTTTATTTAATGATTTTCTTTTAGCATGTAGATTCACATAATTTTCTTCGTGAGATGAATGTCCCCTTAGTGTCTCCATAATTTCCATCTTGTTCTCTTGAAGATAATCTAAAAATCAAACTGATTATAATCTAAACATTTGCGTACAAGAGAAAATAAATATAAAAACAAAAGAAATGTAATAATCAAATTAAAGGTTAATAAAACGCAAGAGAATACAGTAAAACATCAATATAACGGACCTCTATTTAACGGACAAAAACTCCGGTCAAATGTAAAAATAAATAAAAACACCTGTTAATATTATACATGCTTAACCCGTCCCATACCTCTGTATTTTAGAAAGAATTTCAATAAAATTTAGCATAAGAGGACACATTTCTAAGGCCGGCTTCACACATTGGATTGATACATCAACGGCAACAGTGGAGTCACTGCAGGCAAATCACTGCTTAGAAATAGAAAGAAGATTTTTTGGAATTACACAAAAAGGCGTGCGTAAATTGGCATATAGTTTATGCAAAGCAAATAATATAAAAAAATCCATTCAGCGTGGCCAAAGGAAGTGCTGGAGAGAAATTGCCTCAGGGATAAGAATGCCTCAAGCAATATTCTATGCGTGTATTAAATCATTCACCAAAGAACACGTTGTGGCATTTTTTTATTTATACGAGTCACTTTTAGAAAAAATAAGTTATAATCCAGCAACGATTCAATTGTAATGAAACCGGTTTCATCATTATGCAACATAAACATCTGAAAATTGTGAAAAAAAAAAACAAATTGGCGCAATCACCCCAGCTGAACACGGATCTTTGTTAACATAGTTATGTGTTTTAGAGTAATAATGTGTTTTAGCGCAATAGGCCAATATAACCACTCTTTTTAATTTTCTCCAGGAAGAAAATGAAAATGGAATTAATGAATGGCACCCCGCCTGTATCAGTATGCGTGTCATGTATCTGGCATTCACAAGAAATGTTTGTCGATTGGCCCCGTCATTTTATTAACATAACAAAGTCCAGCGCTGACAATCCAGTGGTTTTGATCCTTGATGGTCATTACTCCCATACAAAAAATTTTGAGGTAATAACTGTAGCGAGAGAAAACCACACACACATGATTTGCCTTCCACCTCATTCGACACATAAAATACAGCCATTAGATGTGGCATTTATGTCACCGTTTAAAACTTATTACACGCAGGAGATCACAAACTGACTTGGGCTTAATCCAGGACGTATTGTAACAGGCTATCAAGTAGAGGAACTTTTTGGAAACGCTTATATAGAAGCAGCGATCATGGGTACATCAATATGGGTTTAAGAAAACTGGTATGTTTGTCCTAAACAGAAAAGTATTCAATGAATGTGATTTTGTCGCAGAAATGCAAGAAATAGTTGAAGAAACAAAGTAGAAGAACAAACAGTTAATGAAGAAGCAGTGAAAAGGGAAACAGTCAATGAAGAAATATCAGAAGGAGAAGTAGTACAGCAAAAACGATTCTATAAGAATGTACCAGAAGAAAAATCACCTGAAAATCAGGTTACTCCTGCTGATTTGATGTATGTTCCAACAGTTTCTAAAAATATCCTAAGAACAAAGAGTACAAGAAGTGGCAACGCTGCCATTGTAACAAACACTACACACAAAGATGCATTAGAGAACAGCATTGAAAAAAGGAATGATCTTTAACTTCTGGCGTTAAAAGAAAGGTAAAGAATTCAAAAATAAATAAACAAAAAAAAAACCTGCCAGCAAAAAAAGAAATTGTCAGTGGCCAAAGAAAAACCAAATAAATGTAAACGAGGATCTAAAAGAGTAGTTCTTCATTCTTCAGATTCAGCCCCTGCAGTAGAGTATCAAAATTCAGATGTAGATGAGCTGGTAGAAAACGTTGAAGAAGATGCCGTTTGTATTTTTTGCGAAACTCTATATTCTGAAGCATTCAGAGGCGAACAATGGGTGATGTGTCAGGGCTGTTTTAAATGGGCTCACGTTGAATGATCTGAGTGTGAAAGAGACCGGTATATTTCTGACTTTTGCTGTGATAAATAGATTTATTGTGTGTTATGTTTAGTTAACTAGGTTTTTAATTCATTTAAGAAATAATACCTTTTTGTTAGATGCATTTTTTTATGTCATTTTCATAAATAAATAGTTTTAATCCAAAAAACCCAAAATTATTGAATTTATTTTGAAATTTTACATTGCAAATGGTACCCCATATTAGTATACCCTATGCCTCTAATATGGGATACAAAACCTTTTTTAAACACTGCCTATTTCCATTTGTATTTTTTTTTTCGTGTCTATTACTAAACGCTTAAAAAGTGTCCAAAAAACTTTTTTTAATAGAATTTATAGATTCAATTAACTATTCCTCTAGTATTGGTGCATTTATTGGTAGATTATCGCTTTTATCATAATTAAATTCTTGTAATTCTTCTTTGGTTTTAAATTGTAAAAACTCGAGAACTGAGAAAAGTTTTCGTTGCTTGAATATGACTCTTAGAATGAAGCTAATACATTGGCTATTCCAGATTTAGATGTATGAATTTTATTATTATATTCTAAAAATCTTATTGATGAGTTTGTGTGGCGTCCCGAAATTTTGATAATTTGTTTCCACACTATTGCTGCTGGAGTAGAACTGTTTATTGTCGATAAAAAATGTTTCTACGATTCCTTTTTTGCTTCTTTTACGACTTTTCTACTAATAACCCTTAACTTCTTATATTCTAGAAGATTTTCTTGTGTTTTTTGGATTCATTGAATGCATCTGTGAGTCTTCTTTATATCATCTTGACAGTGATTGTTCCACCATGGTATTCCAATACGATTTCTTACTATTTTATTTTTCCAATGATATGATCTGCTGCGGAAGATATCACGGAGGAAAATTTATTTACTAAGTCGTTTATATTGTCATGCGGGGGTGGATCTGAAAAATATTTAATTGATTCTCCACAAATTGTGTAAACGGTGGCCAATCCTCTATTTCTGTATTCCATCTAGTGTATGGTTGTATGGCTTCCATACAATTATGTACTAGCTTCCCAAGTTATGTTTTGTACTAAAAAAAGGTCTACAATAGATAAGTCAATACAGCTAGTGTTTCCAGTAAAAGAATTAAATCTTGTTGGAAATCCATCGTTAAGTAAGGTAATATTGGTGTTATTAATGACCGTTTCTATTATGTGTCCTATTTTGTTACATCTATTAGATCCCCAAAGTGGATTGTGTCCATTTAGATCTCCTACTATAATCTTAGGCGATGGAATTTGTTCTATAATATGAGTTATCTGTTTTATACTTATATCAGTATTCGGTGAAAAATAAATGTTAAAGATATTAATAATTTTTGGAGTTTTTATGGTTACTGCTACTGTGCGCAAGTGATAGGCGTGACCAATTATGGTACACATAGTCTATGATAACAATATTACTTTTCTATATCCAGGAACTGTGTGTACCATTTTTTGACACAGCTATCAAACATTTATTTTTTATAACAAAAAACTCATTTCATATTTGCTGTATATGTAGTACATTAAAATAAAGTATTCTTAAAAAAAAGTTGTTAGTCTCTGGTAGGCAATTGTTAAACAAATTACATGGCTTATTTAACAATTTAATTATTTAAATATTATATATTCGTAATTTACACAAAAAGTACATACAAATTAAAAAAAAGGTCTAAATTCATAAACAAGAACCAGATATACAGTTAACTGCTCCTTCCAACACCGCCGCTCCCGCGAGTTTCAAGGCCGGCTAAACCGCTCTGACGAGATCTAAAGAGATCGAAATACGTATAAGCGGCTTGCTGCCGCTCTGTATTGAAACAAAAATCTAGTACCGTCTTTATATATTTTTTTGTTTGTTTTTTATTTTTAAACATAAAATACGAAATTAAAATTAAAAAGTTTAATGTTTGTTTGCACTCAAGTAACCTATTGAATTAAAGTTTAGTGCCACTAAAGACAATTGAACAGATAGATCAAGAATTAGATTTATTTGTCAAAGATATTCAAGATTCAGCATGGGATTGCACTCCCATACTGAAAACAAAGTTAAAGCGAATAACTACCCTAAAGAAATTCGTGAATTAATAAAAGAAAAAAGAAAACTAAGAAGAAAATGGCAGCAAACGAGAGCCCTCGAGAGAAAACTAACCTAACCAGCAACAACCTAACAATGCCATCCAGCAACTTAAAAGAGAAATCCAGAAAATTAAGAATGAATCTATTAAATCTTATCTGGAAGAGCTAATAAACGACAGTAGCACAGAGTACTCACTTTGGAAAGCTACAAAAAGAATTAAAAGGCCAATATTACATTCTCCTCCAATAAAACTAGAAGACGGTAGTTGGGCCAGAAATAATCAGCAGAAGGCAGAGAGATTTGCTACTCATCTAGAGAACACATTTAAGTTGCAAGATGACCAAGACGATGACCAGGATTGGCCCGAACCAAAGCAAATAGATGAGAATATCAAGCCAACTTCCCCAAAAGAAGTAGCTGAGTTAATTAAAGAACAAATCGACCCAAATAAAGCACCAGGTTATGACCTCATTGCCAGAAGACTGCTAAAAAATCTACCAAGGAAAGCTATCGTAAAATTAAGAAATTTAATAAATGCTGCCTTTAAACTACAATATGTTCCAGATTTATGGAAGATAGCTGAGGTGATCATGATACCAAAGCCTGGGAAACTCCCCAATGAGGTGACATCATATAGACCAATATCACTCCTACCTGCGATGTCCAAGGTGTTTGAAAAACTCCTCCTGCGAAGAATCCTACCAATAATTGAAGAAAAGAAAATAATTCCAGATCATCAATTTGGATTTAGAAATAAGCATTCGACAATTAACCAGGTGCATAGAATAATTGCTATAATTGAAAGACCATTAGAGAAAAGAAAAGTCTGTTCTGCAACCTTCCTAGATGTGGCACAGGCGTTTGATAAAGTCTGGCATAAGGGTTTGATACATAAACTTAAATCATTCATGCCTAAACAATATTCAAATATATTACAATCATATCTAGCGAACAGACATTTTAGAGTTAAACAAGAAGATGCATACACTGATCTCAAGGAT